CCAACAAAAAAAAAAGAAAAGAAAAGAAGTATGGTTACAATAGTGACCATGAATAACATTCGAGTATTGCACCATTTTTTTTCAAAAGTATTGACCCTGAGATATTTAGCAATAATTAGTAATATATTCAGAATTGCATCTCAACTCACGGAGTGGACATAATATGATCTTCAGTTTCAGTGTGGAGTAAAATCTTTTATCCTTCCCATATCACATTTGAGGAAAACAGTTTGGGGGGAAGGGTTTTTGATGTTGCAAAGGTTTGAATTCTGGACCTCACACTTACTAATCAAGAATGCACCACTTGAGCCACATCCCCAGCCAAAAAATAAAATCAGTTTTAATCTAACCTGCCTTTTACTTTTAGGGTGAAAATTTAAAGAATAATTCATTTTAAAGCCAGGCACTGGTGACTCTCACCTCTAATCCTAGCTGCTCAGGAAGCTGAGATCTGATGATCACATTTCAAAGCCAGCCCTGGCAGGAAAGTCTGAGACTCTTATCTCATTACCCACAAAAAGCTGGAAGTAGCCTGTGGCTCAAAGTGCTAAAGTGCTAGCCTTGAGCAGAAGAGCTCAGGGACAGCCCAGGCCCTGAGCTCAAGCCCCACAACAAGCAGCAATAATAGCAAAATAATAAATTTTAGCTCAAAATTACCATTTGGAAAATAAGCTAGCATCCTGCATAATGCAGGACATGCAATGAAAATATTTTTTCTAGGTTGAGATAAAACTAGAAAACAGTAACATCAGGACACATATGGTCCATTTTCTCCAATTAAACAACAGTTAGGGCTGGGAATGTGGCTTAGAGATAGAGTGCTTGCCTAGCATGCATGAAACCCTAGGTTTGAATCCTCAGTACTACATAAACATAAAAAGCTGGAAGTGCTGCTGTGGCTCAAGTGGTAGAGTGCTAGCCTTGAGCACAGAACAGTACCCAGGCCCTGAGTTCAAGCCCCAGGACAGGCCAAAAAAAGGATAATGTTGACATCAGAAGTTTATGTATTCATTATTTATAGCTAATATTGGAATCGTTTATAAAAAGATTACCTATATTTTTGCTTTTTTGGAGTGGGGGGGAAGACCTGGGGCTTGAAGTCAACGCCTGGCCACTGTCACTGAGATTTTTTTCTAGCTCAAAGCTAGCACTCTACCACTTGAGCCACAACTCCACTTCTGCCTTTTTGATGGTTAATTGGAGGTAAGAATCTCTGAATTTTCTGCCCAGGTTGACTTCAAACCTCAGTCATTGGATTTTAGCTTTTTGAGTAGCTAGGATTATAGGCATGAGCCACCAGTGCTATCTGCCTGCACTTTTAATGCCATGAGGTGCATAGTAGGAAAGAGCTTATAGTTAAATATTAAAGATGTCTTGTTGATATTTATGTTTTATTTAGAATTATATTTAGAATTTTGAGAATTTGTAAATGATGATTATAGTACATCAGATGAAATCTTACAGTTTAGCCCATAATTGGTACAATTTATGAGTCATAGTCTGGATAAAAATGTCACTCACTTACAATAATGAACCATATTATTCTGGATATTATATAAACTTTTTTTTGAGGGGGTCCGGTTGTGGGGCCTGAACTCTGGGCCTGGGCACTGTCCCTCAGCTCTTCAGCTCAAGGCTAGCGCTCTACCACTTGAGCCACAGCGCCACTTCCGGCTTTTTTCTTTTTTGCTTATGTGGTGCTGAGGAATTGAACCCAGGGCCTCAGGCATGCAAGGCAAGCGCTAGACCACTGAGCTACCTTCCTAGCCCCTAAGAACTCTTAATGTAGGCATTTTACGTACCCACTAATTCTTCTGAGACTTTTGTATTTCCTTTGCTGGTACTGGGCTTGAACTCAGATCTTGGGCACTTAAATTTTTTTGCTCCAAGCTTAAATTAAGCACACATCTCCACTTGAACCACATCTCCACTTCTGGCTTTTTGGTGGTTAATTAGAGGTAAGAGTCTTACACTTTCTAGCCTAATCTGATTTCAAACCTTTCAGATCTCAGCCTCCAAAGTAGCTAGGATTACATACGTGAGCCACCAGTGTCTAGCTCATTCTTTTAGATCATAAGAGAGTATCCTTCTATAATATAAGTCCACTAAGATTGAATTTCTTCTACCGGAATGAAAGGTATATATAGCAAATCTGATCATGTCGAACTGTTCACCAATTTTTGGATAGACCTGTTTCATTGTCAGTTTTGTGAAGCCAGGACAGTAAATAAAATAACTTTCTGAAATAAAGTGAAATGTAAATGCAAGAGTATCTGATTTACAGCATCACCAGATCTATGTAATATAAAAATTTTGGTGAAATTTCTTTCTTTGAAGAATCACTCCCATCTTTGCAAGAATATTTATTTTTTATAGTAATTGTTATTGGCCCCAAGACTAATTTAGCTTAGAACTCTGTTGTATGGGATATTAACTGTAAAATGTTATACTTGGAGCATAACAACAGTGTTTTGTTCATTTCATTGCATAGCCTCTCATTCATTCATTCATTCAACTTGAGATTAATTCTCTAATGTGAATAATGTTCCTGTTCCTTGGCCATGTAACAACTATTGTAGTAGGAGAAGCTAGTCATGTCCTTCAAAGATGTTTTCATTTAATTTCCTTTAAGTGGACTGGAAGTATAGCTCAAGTGATAGTGCCTTGCCTGGTGAACTAGAAGGCCTGGCTTCAGTCCTCAGTATTGAGGGGTATGAGAGATGTGTTATCATTAAGTTGAATCATTCTTACCAGTCAATTATACCCATCATACTCCCACAGTTACTAACATATCTATCTTAATACTTGTTTCATCCATGCAGACTAATCCAGCACTCACACATTGAACAAGAGTTGGACAAAAAGGAGCTTGCCCAACTTACGTTTTAGCATGTATATTATGTCTCACTTTTTTTTTTGTTAGCTCTGGGTATATTTTTACTTTTAAGTTTGTTACCAGATTCTTTATCTTAAACCATTAATTTCTTCTTTGTGTATTTGGTTAAACAGGAAAACTGTGGTATGTCTGTGTGCAATGGTAAAATATATATCCTGGGTGGAAGACGGGAAAATGGAGAAGCCACAGACACTATCCTCTGTTATGATCCTGCAACAAGTATCATCACAGGGGTAGCTGCAATGCCCAGGCCAGTGTCCTACCATGGCTGTGTGACTATTCATAGATACAATGAGAAATGCTTTAAGCTCTAAAGCCAGAATACCTCACCAAGAAGCCACACTGATCCAAGACAAGAGCATTTAAAAACTTCCAGTTGGGAACTTGACTTATCTCCTTTGTGCCATATGTAAAAAAATAATCCCCGTGCCTTTCTCCCCCAAATATCAATTCTTCAGACTATAATAAAGCCTTTCCAATAACTGAAAGAATATTGTTGTTGTTAAGGATAATGGTGGCTGTTGCTTGGCCTTGGGAGTGTATGTTTATATTTTTAAGAAGCCTATATGGACTAAGAAATAATGTCTGCATATTTTTTAGGAATTTGTCAATGATTTCTTCAGTTATGTATGCTTATCTGTGTAAGACTGCATATTTTTGTTATTGTTGTCTCATATGGAGAGAAAACTGCATGACTGAGAGGCTTTATTTACATTAATCACCTCATGCTAAAAATGCTTAGAGAGCATTCCTGAGAGGAAAATCAGTTTTAAAATATCTTTATCACTGATACTGCATATCTGAACTGGCAAATTATATTGAAGGTATTTTTGTTCTG